ATCGTATTTTTCAATTTAAAATATATAATATGTATGCATACATTACTGTATGGTCTATACTTTGGTTATGTTTTTTAAATTGTTTATACAATACACATAGAAAGCAAGCAACTTTACAATATCACACGAACACCAACAACGCATATATATGTGCTAAGTATATATTACAAATGTATTGAATATTTTTACAGACTCTAGTATTATGAATAACAATTTATCAAGAACCAAGTTGTGAAGAAGCGATAAAAAAATTTGTTACCGTTCGTTTTTTTACATCTATAATTTTTATTTTGTCCAGTATCATTATTTTTAATCCATCTGATTTCTTTCATACAAGATAATACGCTGTAATATAAATAACAAATCTCGTGATGTGGAAATAAATGTTTATTATCCCATAAAGAAAACGAATTTTCAACAAAGCCGTTGCACAGCCGTTGCCTTTTATTGAATAACATTATTGATGTGTTTAGCAAAATACATCAAAGCTCGATTATGAAAATTTTATAGATTTAAAATGCTTTGCATAATGTTGCATGTATTTTGTCTTTAAAATAGTTAAAAACAATCCTAGTTCAACGCTCTTATATGTTACAATATTATATTATTAATGTATCAGATAACTAACAAAATTCGTAGTGTTCACAAAGTTGACACAGCTGATAAAAATTGTACAATATTTCACTTCTAATTCATTGTAAAAATTCAACGTTCCGACAAACCTAATATTGCTTACAGAATCCGATTACGTAAACGTTTTAGCAAATCGAAAATTATTTGTAACTTTAAAATATTACTCATACATGTAAGTTGTAAATATGCCTATAGGCAAGGATTAAAATTGGTAGCAACATATACTATTTGTACGAATAGATATTTCTAAATGAAAGAAAAGAAAGGCTACTCTGATTACTACCATTTCAAAGTGTTTAACTTTAGAGTATAAACTTGGCACAACTTGAAAAAATGAGCAAGATATGTATATCATTGAAAAGGGATAAAAAATGTTTTTTTTTTGGGGGACATAAAAGTGAATTGACATCTTTTCAATTCATAATTGAAGAATCACGTCTTTTAGAATGCTTGTATTTATGTAATGTAAGTTTTCTTTCTTTTAACAATCTTTAATTATACTATACGAAACTATGAATTTTGTTAGTCGCTTGATATTTATATATTTATATACAAAAATGTCTAACCCAGATGTATACATAATTTTCAATTGTTAGTCTTTTCCCTAAAACAAGAATGCAGAAGAAAGTTATCTGTCATATGAATAAAAAAATTTGTGTCTGTAACATGTGGCTATGTAACAGGATAAAATAATATGCAAATAGAGCAATCTATATTAATGTAATAAATGACTTTACAATCTGAAGCATATAAGTATGTAAATGACAAGACAATATACATTCACTTTCAATGAAATTATATATTCACAATATTTTCTTTGAAATAACTCTTCTATCTGCATTCTCTTAAATCTTTTTTGTTTTTTACTTGTTTTAGTGAATCAAAAAGCTATAATCAAAATAACGACTTAACAACACGAAGTCTTTGCTGGTTCTGCCTCGACTAGATTAAAATCTAAACCACCAGGCCTGGCAAATCCAGTTTTGATGCCATCCCAACCATCTTCTACTTTGTATTCACCAGTTTGTATCCTGTTATAAACTTCTTGAGTAACCGTTCGAAACGCTTCTTCAACATTTATACCAGTTTTTGCACTGGTCTCAATATGATGTACACCATGTTCATCAGCAAATGCTCTGGCTTCTTCTTTCGAGACTTCCCGTCTACCGCCATTAGTTACTAAATCTAACTTACAGCCTACCAAAGCAAAAACGGGGCGATGCGGCTCAATATGTCTGCGAGCTTCCATCATCCATTGAGGTATATGCTCAAAGCTTGCTCTATTACAAACGTCGTACACAAGAAGTGCTCCTACAGAATTCCTGTAGTAAGATTTTGTAATTGACCTAAAGAAAGAAAAAGAGACAATATAATTTTTTTCTTGTTGGTTGACAATAATTATAAATCTGCATTAGACATAATTCTCATATTTTCAACATGTATAAAAAGATGTAAATACCTAAATCTTTCTTGACCAGCTGTATCCCATAATTGTAATTTTATCCTTGTACCATCTTTAACTTCTATTAACCTCGCAAAAAAGTCTACACCAACTGTTGGATCTGAAAGCTAAAATTGTACAGAATATAAAATAATGTGCTATTGCGTTCCTCTCTTCATTGCAAAACTGATTATAGCTTTTTGATAACAATTATTTCAATCAGATATCTAATTTGATTAGCATTGTAGCAAAGAAGCACTTGTGATATTTATTGAGAATCAACTTAAAATTTATATCAAATTTTATATATACATTGCTTATATCTATTATTTGTAATTTTATCGTAAAGGGAGTTATTACAATATAATAAAGTTAGGTAATGATATATCAACAAAATAGGAAGAGCAGAATATTTCAAGTATCGTATGTAATGCGTGATAGTCAAAATTCTCAATTGAAAAGTACAAAAGGCACTTTAATTCTAGGAAACATGTAAATCAACGTCAAGTAATATATTAAATATGTATTCTGACACGACGTCGGAGCGACTCGTCGGATAAAGAATTCTACCTAACCTAATTAAATCTGGAAACATGTACAGTGACAATAGAGCGATCATTAGACGCAATTAATGAGCTCTGAGATCACATCTGCACATACGCGAGAGTGATGCATAGAATCACGATAGAACAGATAGGAGGACAGGGTAAACAAGGAAAGATAGTGCGCAGACATTCCTAATGGCAGCCTGTTACGCATTCGATTGTTACTTATCAAGTTACAGCGTACCTCCGCGAACTTGCCATCGGTGAAATACTTGAGGAGAGAACTCTTCCCGACTGTACTGTCGCCAATCAGTATCAGTCGAAACTGGTAATCGAAGATAGGCTCTACCATCTTGGCGAAGCGCGCCGAATACGCCTGTAATACGTCGATAAACGGGCGCGTGCGACGTCCCTCAGCAAATTTCGCACATCTCTCGGTTCGGCGTGTCTTGACGAGGGCAGCGCACACTGAACAACAGCACAGCTGACCGTGACATTAATCATCGGAGTCTCGATGCAACTACAATGAACTACGAACACTCTGTGCTTACCTCTACCCAAACGGACTGTACCTCGCGCTCGGCCACGCGCGCACTACTGCGCACGTCGTGGCGCCGAATAAACAATACGCAGATCGTGTGAGCTAATAATGCTGAATAATGCGTCCGTTCAAAAGTTCACTTTTTATGTTTTGCTTCTTCTCGTTTTCTCCCTCCTAACCTACGAATGTATGTAGCGCAGTTCACGCACGGAAAATACAACTGAAAAAAAGATAGATTTGTTATCGCGATCACGCGTAAGTCGCGAGATCGACTGCGCATTAAATACAGGCTGTGTTGCGCGTGGTTGTGCGCTATACTATATCTACGTTATTTAAATTAAGCCAAAACGAAAAAATTTCGAGCGTTTCTTCTCTATCCTTTTTTAAAGTCTAACATGAGCATATATCTGTCGCATTTTTAATGTAGAAAATGCAAGAAAGCGTAGCTAAAACAAATAGACTTACTCCATTTCTCAGACTTTCTCTCTTCGCTTTTCCTTTTTACTGTGATACTCCATTTCTGTGATATTTCAAATACGATTGTAAGTAAAGTTGTATAGGAATTTTCATTAACGGTTATGACGCATAAATAAAAATGCGACACGCACGCTTCAAATTCCCCAAATGCAACTTTATATGGTACAGTTTTTCTAATTATTAGTACATCATGTATATTTAATTTCGAAAACTTAAAGTGTAACATTATACAGCTAGATAGATTATTGTTATTACATTATTGCAAGATCTAGGAGCTGAAACCTAATTTATTAATAAGAAATGTGGAGTAAAGAGCGAGGACTAAAACATTCTAAATCCATCAGCCAAAGTACAAGTATGTGCTAGCTAACAATAAGTGATACCGAATTTAGGTTTAGTTTACTGGTTTAATTTAGGATTTTTTTATTGAACATCTCTTAAATGTATATGTATTTATTTACTTCAGCTTCTATGCCAGGAAGGGAATTTAACATCTTATACATTATTTTCATAATAAAAAATTATTTTTAGTATTTTCAACAATCAGGAAAATATATTCACGAATGCACTATTGTTGTTATATTTAAATGACATTATTATATGATAAAATGAAACCTTTACTAAGTTTTACCGGTGATATTGACATGCATATCCTATATGTAGTTTATGCTGTTGTGTTATGAATGTCATGTTCTACTTGACACGCGTCCAATACTTTATGTATACGAGTTAAATCGACGCGACTTCTGTTAAACGCCTTGTAACGCTGCATTAATTTTTTAACGCTCTCACATGTGTCGACTAGCGACAAGCTTTCAAGAAGATAACTTTTAACACGGTTAATCCTTTACTAGTGATACACCGGTGAAAAATTTACGCTGTCAGCGACTGTAAAATCCAATTATCTAGATTTGTCTACTTTATTTTATTTACAAAAGTTATGAAGAAATAGATCAAATATTTATCAACTATAAAAAAAATTTATTCTATACAGAATTATATATAATATTACTTATAATATTAATTACAATTTTGCATTTGCGTTTGGCACAAAATTTTAATTGACTGTTCCACCTTAGTGCCGTGATTATGCATAATATTATACTTTTCTTTACATTACATTATATTATACAATAATTTAGCATACTAATTTGCAATGTCTATGTAATATTCCATAACGTTTACTGAATATCCACATCTATAATAAGAATTTTTACTATTCTTGCTACGTGATTCTTTTCTTTTTAAAGACAATTATTTTTTTATCTTACTTTCAATTTTATTTTATAATAAAATGTATTGTTGGTCATCGTGTGTTCGATGGAGAGCTATTGTTTATTGATATCGGAATAGTTTTCTGAAATTTAAAAATGTGAAGGATACTCGCGCGTATATCGTGTGAATATCGTATTAGCTACACTTGAGCATCAGCTAGAAATTATTAGAAAATCAGCTCTGAAACTTTGAAATACTTTTTGATATTCATGAAAATATTTGATGCTGTATTGTTTCAGTGTAAAATAGAAAAATTTCAAAGAGATCACGTGGTTTCGACCAAATATATATCGATATCATAGATAGGATATGATAGATCTTCGTTTACGCGCCGTTGCTGGGGGAATCGCGACGACGCGTAACAAACAAAGATGCGATTGGTCAGTCGCTTCATCGGTTGATACATCGGATTGGTTGCCAAGGTTTATGTACGTGACGACCGTGTCGTTGTGGGAGGGGGGCAACATGAATCGCAAGGCATCCGTGCCTGGTCGCGACACGACGCGTCGGAGTCGCGCGATCATTCGTACGCGGCACGCGACGTTAGTTTCGTGACGAGTGATTTTGCGTTAGTTTTTCGCGCGAGTACGAATACTCGCTGGTCAAATCGTCATTTAGAACTGGAACGTGCGTGCTTTTCGTCAAAATGTGATCGAGTAATTTTCACCAATTTTTTTGTTTGTTTGAAGCACTTTCTCGGGAACCGAAAGAAAGGAACCGAAAGAAAGGAAACGAATTTTGCGCTTTGCAAGGAGATTCGCGCTGATGATGAACATGATACTTCCGTGAGGAGCTGCAGGTAATTCTTGATATGCTTACTCTGAAAACATTTTATCTTCTGTGAAGATCGTGCTGTAGAAAGAATATGTGAGATAAAGCGATACAAATTATTTTGCGATATTGCGAATTTCTAACCTTGTAAACCGGTATAATTTTCAAGTATTGAAATTTTGTTTATTTCAATCTATTTATTTTAATTTTTATTAAAAAAGAGAAAAGATAGAAGAGAAGAAGCTTATTTCTTCTTATTTCGCTTATTAATTCTTATCATTGTTGATTTGATCAGCTACTAAAAATTTTAGGTTATTTCACGCGCGGTGTTCAGCGATATCAGTGTAAAAGTGATGACTAGCATTTTAAAAAAGAATGAAAATATAAATTTAAAAGCGTTATAATCAACAAATTTTAATATTAGATGATACAGTTGATAGAAGCAAATTTTTTTAAATTGATCAGAAGGGTTGATCGTTAAGAGAGCAACTCAAATGCGTCATAAAGCGAATGTAGCAAATGTAAAGATTCACATGAAAGACTGATATTGCATTATTTAAAATAGAAGGACTCGTCGCGTAATACCTATCGCTGCAAGTGCGGCGATTTAAATCGCCGCGCGTGACGGAGTTCACGTCGCGATTTTTTTTCGCGATCTGCGTACATTGTATTTATTTTGTACACAATTAACTAGAAAATAGACCCCCCTAGAATGCTTTAATACATAAAATTGTATTAATGTTTGACAATTTGGAACGTGCGTATTGTCTTTCGATATTTGTGCGTCATGTTTCATAATCAGAATTATATTTGATAGTTATACATCTTTAAGTATATTTGATAAATAATATATCAAACATAAGATTAAAAAATATTAATATAGCTCATACAGTAAATTAATCAATAAAAATATAGTTTTATTTTTTATTAATAATCGTGATGCGCAAATATCTAGACAAACTGTACATTCTGAATTGCTCGGAATTGGTGCAATTTTATATGTTAAAGAAATGCCTTTCTTCGGAACGCGCATAATATGTCTAAATATTCATTTATCATGACTGTTGGTCAAAAATCAAAAATTATATTATTATTAATTTATTTATTATATGAGCGGCTATTTATTTTTGATCGTACGTTTAATCTCTCAAACACTGGAAGATGTCAAATTATTAGACACAATTTTGGGACGTGAAAAGACGTGTATATGAATATTAAAATATAATGTTCATGTTCCGCGTTGCCTAAAATTGATGCAATTTGATGAAAAAGTGTTTTAATATATACTTATTCACAGTTTTCTGCTTTTTTTACTTTTCTTTTCTTTTTTTTCAAGTCGCGTTCTAAACGGGAAAAATCTGAGAAAAGTATATGAAATGTAGAAATTGGTGTGGTTATTGTAAATGAAAAATATATTTAAAATTTATATAATTTTGTAGCACACATATATATTGTGACAATTCGAAAAGCTTCCATAATATTAAATATTTCTATAGGCTAACTTATTATTTAAATGATCAAGGCAGAAAAAGCAAAATAAATGAGTTTAAGGAAAGTGTATACAATCGTGTCTTCGGGGCTAATTTATTATTTGATTTGCTTATAGCATAAACGGAATCTCTCTTTTTTCATTAAGGAAATAATAGAAAAGATAATTTTACATTTATATGAATGAGAAAAGCATTAGATTTCTATCGCTTCCGGGTGAAGAAAATTTTCTAGTGAGCCCGTGCGCTCTCGGGAAATGCAAGTACGTTTTCTACGGCCCATTGCATTGTCGCAATTCGACGAGAAGGAGTGTATTTTTCTCCTCGTAACATTAATCTCTCCGTGTTTCCGGGAGATAGCCTGGATCATGACCGCGTTGTGAGTACGTTGCTACCGTGCTTAGAATGATGACGAGTTTTTTGCCCGTACTGATCGGTTGGATTCTTTCGGTTTATCGACTATTTATTTATCAAAAAAAAAGTATGCATTTTCATCTTTTTACAGGCACATTATCGCGCATTAAAACATTGCATATTAACTTTGATATCAATAGCAGATTATCTATTAAGACGTTCTAGACGTATTAAACATGCACTTGGGGGTTTCGCATACAAAAGAGCCTGCAAATAAAACACGCAATAAGAAATTAATATTAGACACAATTAATAAATATAAATATTAATATTTATTAGGAAATATATAGGAGTATAGGCTATTGTTGGAAATTAGGAAATATTTTTTTAATTTATACAGAAATAAAAATATTAATAATGAATAAATCCGGTTGTGCAATTTGCATCATTTTCTGTTAATGCATACAATTAGTAAAGGGGATACTTTTTCACTTTGATAATGCAACCGATCAGATGTCCGCGATACGCACAACTGTGGCATAGCTTGAACCTACAATACGAAACCTACTTTGTGTGACGCATATGTCCTATGCGTTTATCCAATGGACTACTTTTTTTTAAAGAGTATATGCTATTGTTGGAAATTTATACTTACAATTAGATATCGCATACCAAATAAATACTCTAAAGAAGTATTCTCCATCAAGTGTAATATTTTATGCGAGACAGCTTATAATTTATTTGATTAGATTGACATTAAGATTTATTAGATTTTGCATTCTTGATGTTAAACGGTCTCTTTATCGCGTCGTAATGAAATTGCTAGTTACGAAGCGTAAGAAAATTAAGGGCTCGAGGGACTCAACAATGTTGCAGTGTTTCATATGCTTACTGTGTATATAACGATGCGATCTCTTGAATTGGTCGTCATACCGTGACGACGAATTATAAAAGACTTTTTTGTGAGTTGAGAATTAAAGGATAACGTTCTTTCTCTTGTGAACACGGACAACATTTCTTTCATTATACAATTCGTTATGTTTGAAGAACTTGATTTTGCTTACAATTGCATCGTAAGTTTATTTTCATTCAATATAAAACGGAGTAAATATAATTGCAAATTTGATTGCAATAATATAAATATGTAATATAATTTAAATTTGCAGACAGATAACAAGAGATTATAATTCATAGATAATTAAATATAAAATAAATGAATAAATAAAAAATATTTATCGAAAATAATCACTGCGCTATCTTTGCCTTTAATAGTATGAATAAATGTAGTAGAATATGCTAGAATAATTGTTGCGCAATCTATATATAAATATTTTTCATTTATATTCATTTATTTTATATTTAATTATCTATGAATTATAATCTCTTGTTATCTGTCTGCAAATTTAAATTATATTACATACTTATATTATTGCAATCAAATTTGCAATTATACTTGCTCCATTTTATAATTATGAAATTGAAATTGTAGTTTGATGTGGTTTTAAAAGAACCTTGAACGACATTAATTAATTATGAAATACAACTTTGATAACTGTCATTGTTCACATAACTGTTAATATATTGCATTTTTGTGCTACATATCAAGGAATACGTCGAGAATCTAGAGCTATCAAGAAAGTTTATATGCATACTGTCGATACAATGAAAATCGAGAGTAAGCAATAAAGATTTTCAATGCGGAATTTAAAGTTTAAAGATTGGAATGTGTTTACTTATATTTTTTATTATTTACAATATAAATAAACTTCGAATATTACGATAAATTATAAAATTATGCTCTTAATATAGCTGATCTCGGATTTTAATTTATTTTATTATTTCCAATTTTACTTGCTTTATTTTTCAATAGCATAAAAATAACATAAAAATCTAAATTGGTGATTAATACGTCTTAATTGATCAAATAAATCTCGAAACATATTTCACATTATTTTGTAATAGTTATATCTGCAAGTTAATATTAATAATACACTGAATTATAATACAATAATGATCTTGAATTTCATAATTTAGTATTCGGTTAGTTAGTTTTTCGAATTTCAAGGAGAGATTTAATGAAACTATTCCCTAGAATTATATGCAATTATCTATAATTTTGCAGAATGCTTTAGTAACTACATTTAATTTTTTTCCTCATAAAAAAGTAGTGTGTATAGTCTTCACGTTTAATGCGATTGTAAGTTTAGTCACAAGGCAGCGTGCATAGAGTAGCATAATCTTGAGTAGCATAATCAATATCATGGCTAAAGAATATTATTCTCTTTACGTTATGTCCTCTGCTCATAGGAAAACTTGTCTATACAATATAGTTACAAAGTTTACGTCCTACTTTGCCATATAATTTGTGATGTAAATTATAAGCATTTAGATAATGCGTAGACCGTACTTGATCCGTAACATAAAGTTCTATAATCACAATATATGCAATATAAAATCTTGAAAAAAGTTACAAATGAACAGTGCAAATTTATTATAGTAAAGATTAAATGTTGCAGAAGAAAGAGAAAAATTTCTTTTTTACTTGATGACTGTGATGACATAGAAAAATTGAAAAATTAGTGTTTAATTTTATCACTAATAAATTAATACGATAGTCTTACAATTGGCACATTGTAGGCAAATAAGAACTTTTGTGATAATATCCTATTTGACATTTGTTATGAAGTTGTATATGAAAATGATAAGAGACTGTAGTATACACAATAATTCTAGCAACGAAGTTTGTGTATTCGTTCTAATCGCTATAATCAGAATAGCGAGAGCTTTACTCAATTTTAGTTTTATCAAAGTTGATTAGTCATTTTGAAATTGTATCGGATAGAAAATTTTGCAAATTTAGCTTATGTGATAATTGCGATTATTATCGCAAAAGCAATCAGTTGCGAATGAATTTTATCCAGAAAGATATTTTTGGGCTAAATAAAATAATGCAAAAAATGGTGGTTCTCCATTCCGCTTCCGCTGCGTCGACCGCGACAAATTTTTCTCGGATTCGGCCGAGCAGCGATGTCTATTTATACCGCATCCGTTAAATTGCCTACAGTATATTCCTTGATATTTCCGGCGACTACAAACTTTGGTCAGCCGAATCATTGAATTAAAAAGGGCACATCCTAGGCAGCTGCGGCGGAATCGATTTCGCCTTGCCGACCTCCACTCACGCTTG